AGGCTTCACAAGTTGACTTGACAGAGCGAAAAATCATAACTCCAGAGCAGAACGTAAGTCGACTCGTGCACAGACACAAGTCGACTTACCATAAGTCGACTTATGCCTGTGCATGAGTCGACTTATGACAGAAAAATTAGTTTTTTTTCTAGTTTTCTCCACAAATGATTCATGGATGTGGAAGCAACTTCTCAAAGTTAGAAATTTGATGCTTGACAAATTTGGCAATGAAGAAAACCTGCACAGATTCATTAATGGTTGTTGCACAAATGGTAGGTTTCATCTATCCTCTGTGTATTATGCTCTAATTCAACTTGCTCCTTCAGTGGACTGGTCTGATACAGTTTGGAAAGGGTTTCAATACCCTAAACACTCTTTTATTCTATGGTTAGTTGCCACTCCAGACTTCTCACATTGGACAGGTTATGTCATATGGGTATTCTAGAGGTTAATCAAAATCAGTGTGTGCTCTGTTCTAGATGCCAACCGAAACAATTAGGCATCTATCCTTTGAGAATCAGTTTACTACTAAAATCTGGAATAAAATGATGGAGTGGATGAGCTTTTCTCGGAGATCATGTGATTGGAGCCAAATTATAAATTGGTATTCTTTAAACTTGAAGGGAAAAGGATTCTTGAAGATGATGAAGAGGATGACACTCTCAGCAGCAGTTTACTTGATTTGGCAAGAAAGAAATTTAAGGATAGTTCAAGGAAAAGCTAGGGTGCCAAGTATATTATTTCGAGCAATCAAAGTCTTCATCTACTCAAAATTTTTGAATGAAACTATATCTGCTCATATGAAAGATACAATTGAGAGAATGTAAATTTTTCTTTTGATTTGATTACCAGGCATTCTGGTATTTTGATGTACTATACATTTCACAATTGGTAAATGAATGAAAACTTTTCATTGACCAAAAAAAAAACAAGTTCTTGACTTCAATCCAAAATCCGCAAGCTTCGATTTGAAGTTCTCTACAAGATGTAGTACACAGCTAGAGTGAAGGGCCTCTAGGAAAAATTTCTAATAGCTCCTCTAATTCCCTTGTCCGTGTTAGATACTATGATTAACTAGTGAGGAAGACTGTAAAGTTCACTCCTTTCATAAAAATAGACCACAACTTTTGTTAAAACTAGATCTAATTATTCAATTTTTCTTGATCGCTATGCAGTAAGCTAATAGAAATATCCCTTGATTACTATCATATGCTACGACATTCAAAAGAATTCCTTTGTATCTATCTTTTAAAAAGTCCCTTCCAAAAAATAAAATAACAAGCCTACATCCGCCCAAGAAACTATTAATGCAAGCTCCACGACATATAAACAACTGTGAAAATTTTCCTTTCTTCTATTCAACAGCAATATAGCTGTCGGGATTCATCTCTCTTACCATGTCTTGATACCTAAGACCATGCAGAATCATTAAATGTTAAATATATAAACTATGTACATCTAACTTAACATGTAAACTAAAAAATTAACACCAAATTGTTAAAATTAACAACTAACTATTCAAGTTAACAACAACCGATAACTTTTATAGATAAACATAAACTCAGTAACTTAAGTAAGTACTTACCATCTAAGTTGATCGTATGCCTCATGAGCATCACCATACACCTCTTCTTGAGCCCTCTCTTCACTTCATCATATATCTTATTATATTCAATCCTCAGGCCGTATTGCATGAGTATCTCTTTTTGTATATTAATTGGGCAGATATTTGGCTGAACTTTCAACACTAATTGTAATTGTGCAGCAATGAATCTGTGTGATGCCCAAGATCGACCTGAATTGTTTCTATATTATTTCTATGTTGGCTACATGTATGTTGATCCATGAACTTCTTTATAACAAGTTCGATACATGCTTATCGGGAGAAGCAAAACAACATCCAAGTCCAGATATTAGTGTACTTGTATCAGCAATATACTCGAACACGCCTTGGTGCATTTTTCTGAAATTCATATCTTTGTGATTGAAAAGTATTGTAATGTTAATCTTAGCTTATTTGCACTTTCAAATTGTTGTCCAATTTTATTTAGGACAGTGTACCATCATATAGGAATTCTTAGTATATTGTTAATCATATCGTCCATCGTCATAAATTGTTCACCAAGTGGGTTATCATTAGGAGTCTCTTCCAAAGTTGTTTACCAACGAGTATTGGCTCTGAAGATTGATACTTTAATGTAGGAAAAATTCTGCCCACATATAAAATAACATAGATGAAATAACCAATAAAAAATTAGTTTAAGTTAACAATTTTAAGACATATACTTAACATTTCTAATTTGAATTAACATCCAAACATAATATTAACAGTAGCAACCTCTGTTTAGTAGTAATATCTTAGAGTTAACATGTAGAACGTATCAAATATAGTTATTCCTCAAATTAACTTTTCTAATAGAGACCGAAAAACTTTATTACAAATGAAATGATAACTTACAAGTTTTGGGCTTCTTTCTTTTTCTTTCTTTTTGTATTGGGTCTTGGAAGTCTCTTTGTCTACAGTAGCATAAAGATTGACATCTGTACATTCTATATTATAAGCATGCTCCACCATGCACTATCATTTTTATTTTCAATGAGAAAACTAAGATTGCATCGTCTTTTAGATTTATATGTCAAGGATAAAGCAGTCCTATGGGACTTTTAATCTCTCTAATGCATCAAACTTTAGTTCAAGAAAGGTCATTGATGATTTTACCTTCATGAAAACAGCCTCATCGCTTAAAGAAATCACGCATATGAGAGGTTTCTCTTTTATTTATGAAGGAGAGTAAATGAGAGAATTCTATGACCTATTTAGTGCTTGAAGACATGAATATCCCCTCTTTAATAAGATAACAATAATGGAGCAATAATGGAGGGGAGGATCAAAAATACCCTCCAAAATCCATCCCCAATCTCTCCGATATCCATCACATTAAATGCAATTGTGATATACAGTATATTCGATGGCGCGATAGGGGGATTTGTGTAGGGTTTTTCTAAAAATATAGTACACATGTTGTATACTGTTGAAGTAGAGGGCCTAACAACATTACAGTTTTAGATTTATGGCCTAGTCACAGGCCCAAAATTGGACTGGGCTTAGCCACATTATAAACTTGATTTTGGGGCCTTGACATAATTTTTCCTTAGATTCTATAAGTAAGTTTTATTTTATATAATCTGAAAAGTTAAGGGGGGTTTTTGATGTCCCTTAAACTTAAGAGGGATTTTCCAATATTTTGAAAGTCATAGAGGATTACCTGATAATTGCTGAAACTTAGGGGAGGTTTATGATAGTTAGCCTTTTATTATCTCTTGGCTGAAGTACAAAAGCTAAGCATGAGAACCCCCAACTTCAGACGATTATTCAATAACTCTCCATAACTTTTAAAATATTAAAAAAACCCCTTAGGTTTAAAGGCCCCATAACTTTAAAACTTTATCAAAAACTCACTTACAAACATAAATTATACTTTTCCCAAAAGAAAATGTCCCTCGTGTAATTTTACCTATCGATGCGAAAATTGTAGTTAGGACTGATTCTGGGGTTTTCTGAAAAAGATTAAAGGGGATAACTCCTAACTTAAAAGGTATGTTTTTTTTTAATATTTTGAAAGTCATGGGGAAGTTAAGGTTTTTTTATTTTATTTTTTATATTTTTTTATATTAAGCCAAATACAAAAGTTGGGCTCTCAGATGGGCATCTACTTAATTTTCACTATGTTTTTTTAATAGCCATGGAGACTCGAATCCATATTTTAATGTTAAAAATCTTTATTTCCTGATAAATTTTAAAATATTAGCTAATAAAATATGTGAATTATCTACTACTCACTCGAAAACTTGTTATCTAATATTTCAAGAAAACAAGTTAGCTAAGCATTAGATATAGGGACGAGTCCGAGATTATTCGGACTACAACAGCTCGGTAAATTTAATGGCACAAAGTCTCTAGTGCACCCCAATTAAACTATCCTAATAAGAAAGCTTAATTTAAATGGTCTTTCGAAATCATCTCGATCGTTGTCTTTCCCACTTGGAGCAAACTATGCGTTCAATAATTTCAGGAACTACAATCAAAATATTAAAGATTTATGGGAATAATACCGAAAAGCCATACAAAACTTTTTATTATTGATTGGGGAAACACTAGAGGCACACCCTTAAACCACACTCCCAACCACATCCCTCTTCCAGCTACAGTGTTTTTAATAGAAGAGGGATGTGGTTGGGAGTGTGTTTTAAGGGTGTGCCTCTAGTGTTTCCCGATTGATTGAAAACACACATGTCATATTAAAAAGAGTGGGTCCCAAATTCTAGAGGTGTCATGTGCTTGGGTCCACTCCAGCGTTTAAAAAGCTAGCCAGCTTACCATTGTACCCTAAATTTGAAAGAATTTTAAATGTCCTAATTTCTTCATTTGGGACCTACTGTTTTCAATTAGCGACACATTATTAAGTCAAGAAAGCTAGCTAACTATAAGCATTACATAATCAGATATGTTAGGGAATAGAGAAATGGACCTGTAACATGCAAGAAGTAAAACATATCGTACATCAACAAAGCTGGCGAAACCACATGAAAAAATGGTTAGGGAGCAGCAAATCAAATATTTCACCGTCAACGGGCACACGCACAAGCATCACCAATAAAATTGCATTTTTTATGTGTAGAGAATTAAAAATATTACAAGAGCTATGTTCGAAACAACCAGAAAACCTACAAAAGTTGGATCACCACTCTTACCCCACAAAACTTACAATGTTCGATTCTCCATTAAGCAACATGAAGAGTTGCAGAAACGAAGCAGAAGAAAACTGTTCCCGGCCCCCAATTACTTGATCTATTCATTTTGCCAAGCAATGTAGCTGCTAGAATTTCAGGAAAGTCCACGCAAACCTAAACAGGGAAGCAGGGGCACTAAGATGGTCGTCTACAGATATTTGCATCTCAAATTAAGTCAAAAGCGCCGTGTCTGCACTTACACAAGTCGGTTTATGAACAACATTTTGAACAAACAAAGCTTGCCCAAGTGCAGTTATAATTCACTTATCTACAGAAAATTATTTGTATATCACTATTTTGTTCAAGAAAGAAAAGCTGATTAACAGTAGCCAATATTACAATACAAATGCTTCCTTTTCATGTAACTATATGGTAAAAAATCTCGTATCAAGCAACTGGAACTTTACAGCAAATGTTGAGGATTTCATCTAAAGATGCATGATCACCTGTCCCTTCATCTTTCCTTGCAAACAACAACTGCTTCCCTTTAAACACAAACATCCCACCCTAGCAAAACAAAAGGTAAAATTAAAGAGTGCGAGTACCTAATTAGAGAAAACTTACTACAACAAACATACGATACAGTAATTTTCATTTTACCGTTTCCCTGTGCTGGTT